TATTTTCTCTTAGTTTCATTAACTTGTGCTTTTTTATCAGAAACTAATACATACACAAAAGTTAAAGATCATCATCATCACCATATGGTGATTGCCATTGCAATTGGAGTTGGTTGCTCGGTTTCCGTGTCTATCTTACTGCTCGTATTTTGGGTTCATTGGTACAGATCGCGAGCTTTCCTTAAATCCGAAGGTCTCCTCCTATTTACTTTTTTCGTTTTCTTTCAAATTATTTCATGTTTGTATCTCTGCGATTCATTTAATTACAAGAAACTGCATTTATCTTTCAAAATCACAAACACTTAAAAGAGTTACCAAATAAAATAATATTATTTTATTGTGCAGATGGACAAGATTACGAGTTCGACATGGGACAGTTGAAAAGGTTCTCATTGCGTGAGCTGCAAATAGCAACGAACCACTTCAACTCTAAAAACATACTCGGGCAAGGAGGATTTGGGGTCGTCTACAAAGGTATACTACCGAATAGGACAGTGGTGGCGGTTAAGAGGCTGAAAGACCCGAGTTTCACTGGCGAAATGCAGTTTCAGACAGAGGTCGAGATGATCGGCCTGGCTTTGCACCGCAACCTTTTACGTCTGTATGGCTTCTGCATGACCCCAGAGGAGAAATTACTCGTTTACCCTTACATGCCTAATGGAAGTGTTGCTGATCGTTTGCGAGGTTTGTGTCTAACATCCTCTACCATGTTTCACTCTGAATAATGCAAAAGAAATCCCTCTTAAGGTTTTCTAAAAATTACAAACAACCACTTTTGAGGTTCTGAATTTCTTAGAATGTGAGGGGATGTTTATGATATTTTTTGCAAATACAAGTGCAAGTTCTTGAAATGTTTTTGCGTACGAACCCGAATGAAACTTCAAAAGGGTTTTACGTTATTCTTGAAATATTTGGCGATCATGGAATTCACAAATACTCCCACAAGGTTTGTATTTATTTTAAATAAAAAATGCCGATGGGCTAAACTATGTCTGAATTTTTTCGTCACGAGCTTCGTATTTATTCATTTAAATTTATTATTATTATTATTATTATTATTATTATTATTATTATTATTATTATTATTATTATTATTATTGGTTATGATAAATACTAAACAGATCCTGGTCGAGAGAGGCCGTCCCTGGATTGGAGCAAGCGCATGCGGATAGCTCTTGGGGCGTCTCGTGGCCTTCTTTACCTGCACGAGCAATGCAACCCGAAAATAATTCACAGAGACGTTAAGGCTGCAAACATCTTGCTAGACGAGAGTTTTGAGGCCGTTGTTGGGGATTTTGGTCTAGCCAAGCTGTTGGACCCCAGAGACTCGCATGTGACCACGGCCGTCCGTGGTACGGCAGGCCATATCGCACCGGAATATCTCTCCACTGGACAGTCTTCGGAGAAAACAGATGTTTTCGGTTTTGGCATGTTACTTTTGGAGCTCATAACTGGACTGAAGCCACTTGATGCTCGTGCGCCCGACGGTCAGGTCCACAAAGGAATGATCCTCGAGTGGGTTAGTCGATTTTTTTTTTTTCGATATGTACTATACTGTTTGCATAAAATTAAAAACGTTATTATTTTATGAAACAATTGTTATTACTATTTTTAATAATTTTTATTTTTTTCGAAAATACGGATAATATCACATTTTTCTTTTTATTGTAATATCCTATGTTAAAAGTATCCTATCTAAAATAAGAACCAATAAGTAATAACTAATAGACTAAAAGTTTCATTCTTTAGTAGTAGTAAACAAGTTTGTTGATATTGTATGAATTAGTATTTTTCTTTCTTCCTTTCTTCTTTCTTTACTATCCATCAGTTTCACATTCTCAAAGCTTGTCTTTTCTTTCATCTCTCAGGTTAGAACTCTGTATGGTGAGAAGAAAGTAGACGAGCTCGTGGATAAACATCTGAAAGGGTCTTTTAACTCGGATGAACTAGCAAAGGCCGTGGAACTCGCCCTGCAATGCACTCAATCAAATCCCGAGCAACGGCCGAGAATGTCTCAGGTTTTGAGAGTATTGGAAGGAATTAACGGGCAAGCGGACCCCACAGAGGCGCTAAGCCCGGTGGACCTATGCCAAGGCAGGACGTTTAGTTTCTCTTGGAACTTCAGTGAAGCACGCGATGACTCTTCAGTTAGCATTGAGGCAATCGAACTTTCGGGCCCTCGATAGTTTTCTCAGCGTACTGCTAATATACCAATCTTGTTGGAAGTCGACATGTTTAGGAAAGCTTGATGCAAGTGTAAATATTAGTTATTTTTAATTCATTCTGAAGATTTTTGAAAGTCACTGAAAAATGACAGTGCACTAACTAATCATATGGCGTGGTGGTAATTTTTTTTAAGTTTATGGGAATTTAGAAATATGAATCAAAATTTTCAGTTTGGACGAATTTTGTAGTTGGAGCATGCAAGACCAAGATGACTTCATGAACTATGAATTCACATGAAGTTCTGTCCAATGTCATAAGATAGGACATTTCAATTAAAAAAATGTGATATTAACATGGCTTGGCTGAAGTGGTAAGCAGCTTGATGTCCCTTAAGTAAGTTCTCGGGTTCAAGTTCATGTGGATGTAGAAAATCCTTGTTGGGAGACTCATCTACCATTGTCAGATGTGCGATCTGAGTGATGCACGTGATACATATATTAAATGAGTCATTTCTATAAGGTTTAAGCACCAAAAACAATAGAATCGTATCGCACGGGATACATATATTAAATGAATCATTTCTATAGGATTTATATGTTGAGGCACAAAAAACAATATAGTTGGATCATCAATTTTTTACTTCTTTTAATCAATGATTTTATTTTAGCCATAAAATTAACATGTTCATTAATATATTATTCCGCTAACACGTTATATTAATATATATTTGAATTTAGAATATATTTTTATTTATCGATATAAGGAAAAGAATTATTCTTAATCTTGTTCGCCATATAATACTCAACATTATTTTATTATAATATTTGTTGTCATATAATGTCATTATTATTATTTATAAAAGTTATAGCTTCTTCTTTTTAGTTATGTATATATGTTTACAAAATACACACATATGTTTTTTCAAATTTAATTTTCTCATAATAATTACAAAAATTTGAGTTACCAATTGTCAAATAATAAACCTTACATAATCTAATTTGGTTTCTAAGACTTTATAGTTTATTTAATGTACTTATGCAATATAAATATTATACTAAATTCATTATGGGAACAAATAAAAATAAAAAAAACTGATAAAAAATCATCATGGTTGACAATAATATACTAATAAATCATATGTTGAAATTGTAAAAAATAGTTAATATATTTTAATTTTATTATCTAGCCATTAGTAAAAGTATTTAATGATGTAATCATTCTCTTAAATGGTAAATTATTTTAATTTGAAAAATCATATGTTTTACATGTTACGATTGTTTATAATTCACCAACTTCATTTCGCTTAATTAGTTAGAAGGAGAAAATTATTTAACATGTTATGATTGTTTATAAATATTTTAGGATGAAAGTCAACATTTGCGAAAAAAGTTAATAATATGATTAAGACTTAAATATGTTGACAAAATATTATCAACATGAATCACATAAAATCAAATTATAGTTTATTTTAATGGATATGAATAAAATTATTTAAAATGTTAATAAAATTATTCAAGGAAATTATTTTTTTGATTATATCTTATTTGAAAATATGTATATAAAAGCAATTAATGCATATATTTAAAAATTCTCCAAATAAGATGCGCACTAAATGCTTCTAGAAATTTTTGTTACTATTGTTTTGAAACTAAATAAATCACACTCGAAATTGAACATATTTTCGAATGCGTAAAATATAGAATGTTGTTGATTCATATCAACCATAAAAAAGCGCTATAGTGAACACCGTACATATTTTCAGATTTTGGAACAGGTTTTCTATAAATGGTAAGTCAAAGGTTTGACCCACTTTTTTTTCAACTTTTCACAAATAATTTTTTAATCAACCCCTTTCATTATATATAGATTACAAAATAATGATTTCTAGTTACTTTCACGATTATAATTTATAACTACCAGCTTAAGGTATTGCAAATATCCACTTTAGTTGTGTTTTTTTCATTGATAAAGTTTCAATTATCGTTTAAAATTACAAATTTAAACCCTTAACTAGCACAATTTCAGTTTGTAATACATGATAGGGGATTTTAACTAGTAAAACATCAGCGGTAGTATTAGTATATATGTAAAGTTGTTATTTAGTTTATTTAGTCTAAGTTGTCATTACCTTTTGTAGTAACTATTGTATTCCTATTCTTGTGTACATAACATATATTATACTCTAGGTATAAATACTCAATAACAGTTGTAAAACTACATTCATTCATTCTGAATAATATCAGATTTATTTCTTTCTCTCTGCAACTCTTTATCTCTCTCGCTCAATCTCCCGTCTATCATGGTATGAGTCGTCGGCGTTCGCCGTGATTCCTGAGTTTTTCCGCTGCAGTCTACTACGTCCCCCCCTCTGAGACGATTCCTTTTCTTTTTCCCTATATCTCGTCTTCCCAATGTGGGACGATTAACGTTTTTTTTCGATCTGTTTCTTTTTTATCTATCGATCCAAATTGACACGATTTTAGCCTCGATCTGTACGATTATTACTTAAATCTGTATGATTTCGGCTTTGATTTGCTCGATTTGTTCGATTTCCCTAAGATCTATACGATTTGTTTGATTTTGCCCTAAATTTGCATCTGTCATGGCCACTGTCAACTTAACTGATGATCTGTCGTCGTCGTACTACCTACACGCCAGTGATAATCCAAGGGAGATGATCGTTGCTGAACTTTTCAATGGTGACAACTTCGTCTCTTGGTCTCGCGCCGTTCAGATGGCACTTAGCGTAAAAAACAAGAGCGGATTCATTGATGGCACATTACCTGCACCGTCTCCCTCTGGTAACACATATTCTCTTTACGTTTCCTAGGTGCGTACAAACAGTTTGGTGTTGTCTTGGATATTAAACTCTATTTCTAAAGAAATTCGTCAATCACTCTTGTTTTTCACATAAGAAGTATGTGATGAAATTAAGACTAGATATGCCATGAGCAGTGGGCCTGGGGTTTTCCAACTTGAAAAGTCTTTGGGTACTATAGACTAGGGTTCATTGTCCATTACTCTGTATTACAACATGTTTAAAGCTCTTAGGGATGATATGTTACATATATATAGACCTGTTATCAGATGTAATTGTGGTGCCTTTGTGTCCTGTACTTGTAATATTTTTGAGTCAATGACCGCTGCCTGTCAGCAACAAGATTTTGTTATGAAGTTTCTTGTTGGATTACATGATTCATACTCTCCACTCCGCAGTCACTTTCTCATATCCACACCCTACCTCCATTATCCAAAATATACTCCATCCTCCTTCAAGAAGAGACACAAAGAACACTGCACAACACAACAAATCCTTCTGAATCCTTAGCCATGTTTGCTAAAGCCTCTCAGCCAAATCCTCATCCTAACTTCAAATCATCCTAGAGTGTGATCAATCAACATTGAGAGTGTTGAAACACAACCAATTAGAGTTGTGGAGTGTTTCAAAGTTTTTTTTAGAGTTTGTAAATCTCTTGTTTTTATTCTTGTGAGTAATAGAAACTTGTTTTTCTCTCAATTATGATTATGATCTTGGGATGGTACCTCAACAAATGGTATCAGAGCATGGTTTGAACCTTTCGAGCTTAATTTTGAAATTTTTTCGAGATTCTGTAGAAATTTTGAGTTTCTGAGTCGTGCTCGGAGTTCAATTCCGAGGACATCGTTAGATTTGTCCAGTCGAGATGGTCGCGGTGGTATCTTACGGGCGAAAACGGACATCGGAGCTGTCCGGAATAACCTTCTGAAATTCTAAAAAAAAAAACTGAGGAAGAAGATGATGACGTGTCGACACATCATCTGACATGTCATCGACACGTCAGCAAGGAAGGTCCAGTCAGCTGCCCGCTAGCAGTCCAATCATCTGCCACAGCACTTGACACGTCAACAAGAAGGGTCCCATTTATGCCACATAAGCAGTCCAGTCATCTGCCACGTCATCAAGTAGGCACAGTCAGCTCCCATGTCAGCCCAGACGATTGCCATGTCATCACCGTAAAAAAAAGCCCCCCCATTTTTGACTGTTTCAGACCCAACGGTGCTGTCTATTTTTCAAAATACAGCTCCTTATTTATCTCAAACAGATCATTGAAGGTGTAAAATAACCATGGAATAGTCAACTTCATCTTCTGGAGCTATGATTATGCTCACGGCTACCAACTATACGTTGTGGAAACCTCAGATGGATGATTTCCTCAGCTGTAAAGAGCTCTTTGACCCAATAGCGCTGAAGGGTATTAACTCTGATCCGTCCAAGGCATTAGAATGGAAGAAAATCAATAGAAAAACTATTGGTCAAATCCGACAATGGATAGATCATAATGTATTCCATCATGTTGCACAAAAAATCGACGCATATGTCCTTTGGAGGAAGCTGGAGGACATGTACCAGGCCAAGACCGCTCAGAATAAGGCCTTATTGATGAGGCGCTTAGTCAATATGAAGTTGAAAAGTGGAACTTCTGTTGCCGAGCATACTAGTGAGTTCCAGAGCCTGGTAAATCAACTATCTTGTGTGGAGATGCCGCTTGGAGATGAAATGCAATCTCTGTTACTTCTTAGTTCCCTTTCTGATAGCTATGAAACACTCGTTGTTACTCTCAGCAATTCAGCATCAAACGACAAACTTTCCATATCCGTTGTCAAGGATGCCTAATTCAATGAAGAGGCAAGAAGGAAAGACATTGGCACAGATCAGACTCATGCATTTGTAATGAAGAATAGAGGAAGACCACAAGGCAAACAACAAAGAAGCGGCAGCGAGAAGAGCAGGGATAGAAGTAAGGGGAGGTAATTAGATGATCGGAGATCACATGTGTGATATCATTGTGATCTAGAAAGTCATATGAAAAAGAATTGCTATAAATGGCTCGAGGAGCAGGGCAAGAGCAATTCTCAGCTGAAGAATAGTTCTCAGCAAAAGAACAAGGGCAAGGGTTGTGAAACTCTCATCACTGTCTCAGGTGATGTAGCATATTGCTCTAACCATGGAGAGACAGGCCTTCATGTCTCAAGAGAAGAC